TTTTTACAATTGATTGATCACTGGATGGTGATCAGTGTCATGTACGTCAGATCCTTCTTAGTGCAGAACGAATCTTATCGACCAATTTGCAATGTAGCCACTAGTCTAGGTGACTTGGTCGATAGGATTCGATCAGTACTAAGATGGACCTGACCACCCAGTGATCAGTCAACTGTAAATACATTTCAGTTCTACAGGAGGTCAGTAGTGATCCGAATAGCTCAGTGGTAACGTCTCTGACTGTGAAGCTGGGTGACACAAGATTGAATCCGTCACGAAGGATCAGTTTTCTCAAGATTAAAGGTACACCGTGCTGACGAATGCCAAGTAGCACGAAACTTAGGTCCAAAGTTTCATGTTGACTACCTCCAAACACCATCTTAGAGTTTATTTAATTTTACACTTTCGTTTTACATACTGGTATATTTGAGAAACTCTCAATAGATTGCGAATTTCTTGATATTTTGATGTTTCAAATATTTTTTTCTACTAAGTGAATTAAATGTACCACAAAATCTGAAGACCTTCCAAATAGAAAGTCATTTATACACCTGAATATCTGTGATAGTTAATTATGGTAAAATAAACATAAACATTTTCTGATGACATAATAATATATTTTACAGTAATTTAATGTTTGAATTCATGAGCCAATTGAAGTTAGACCACCATGGAAAACCTGGTAGCACTAGACGGCCATTTCATCCTAGTATGAGACTCCTCAGTAGTACGTATCCACGATCCCGCGTCTCGAAATACGAACCCGGGACCTTGCGGTCCCGCGCCCGAACGCCTAAACTTTAGACCGCTGAGCCGGCATACACCGCTGCTAATGTCTAACTTCAACCTGGTCTGTCGTGAGATAGTAAGTCACTTAAGGTAATGGTGGGCGGTGGCAACAACCTCCCCACATAATGCAACGACATAAGCTTCGATCCAGATGGGTGTATTCAATCAGCACTGATTCAATCCATGACTCGCCTATCATCTATTCTGGGACGATAAACTGATATCAACATTATTACACAATCTAATATTTGTCTAAACTTGTATGCATTTTAATTCCCAAACAATAATCACTATATTTATTAAATGATAGCTGCTATCTGAAAGTGATTTTGATAAGTATAAAGTGGCTATAACAGAAATACTTAAACAGTTAGTCGCCTCGATGTTGTGTATATTTGTTAGTGATATCAAATAACTTAAGTTTCCAAGAATTGATTTTACCATATTCATATGAGTTCATCAGAGACAAATTTAAACATACACAGCCTATTTAAATAGATGGTTGATTTACAGTTTAGTAATGGGTATTCTTAGCTTATAGATGTCTTATTCAGTAGTCTACTTTGTTGATTATGACTATGGCGCATTTCTCAGTCACAGTCACAGTAATACTCAACTGCCAAGTTAATTTATTACAAATTTATCTAATAGTGAAGGTTTGATTTACTGAATTTGGGAAAACATTACTCAGTTTCTACTGTTATTCGTATGTAATTTTATGGATAAAAACACTGCAACCTAGTTTTAAATCATATTCTGTTTAATATAGAGTGACAGATGTTCTGTAAATTTCAATGGCTAACACAAATGACCACTTTTTCCGATAAATTCACATTTGCAATATCAAGTGAAGATGTTATCAAACTGGTTTACTGGTCATTTCTGTCAACTGAATTCATACTTTATTTAATCAAATCTTTCAAAATATTATTCAACTAAAATGATAGTTTAGTGACGAAATTCATTCCTACTAAGCTTACCTCTTACAATAACTGATAAACAAACATCACCAAACGGTCAGGGACATTATAGACATGATCGGAAAAACGTTTAGCTGACCTCAAATGAAATGATCTGTGTTTTCTAGTGTAAACAGGTAACGAATCAGTGTTACATACTCTAGATGACTTGAAATGTTTTATTTATTCGAATGGAGGATTTAGTGACTTGACATTCAACGACGCCAAATAAACAGATGATATGCACACTAAAATTAAACAGCAACCAGTATGTCTAGTATAGTTCGAGTCAAGATTTTGAAAAGTTAATGAACTGAATTGATAAATTCAAGTTTTTATACAGTCAGGTGAGTTTGAATTGAATTGGATTTCATTGTTTTGAAATATACTTAATAGTATGTTTTGGAATAAAACTGGTGTACCGATAAATATTTGAGAACGTGAAGGATGTTCTGGTTCAATTTAATAGAACAAATTTAATAGCACTTGCACTACAAATTTCTAATGTACTTTGAAATGTATTTAAAGGCATATTATGCAATCCTCATAGCTACTCTTCTGCATACTGCAAGACATTGATCTGAAAATATAGTTGCTTATAGCCTTGACAGAGTTGACAGGTTTAATAAACATGCAAGAACCTCGTGAAGTTAAATAAAATTAGCTGATAACTTGTAACTGTACATAACAATACTTTATTCTTTAACAAACAGCCGATTTTGTTTTAAAAAAAAACTAGGAAAAGATTATGTAGATTGATATGACATATATTACTGAAATCATCAAACTGCATTGCGAAACAAGAGCTCATTTGGAATCCTGAAGGGAAACGGAAAAGAGGAAGGACAAAGAACACATTGCTCCAGTAGTTGGAACTAGACATGAAAAGGATGAATAGCAACTGGAAACAACTGGAAAGGATTGTTCAGGACAGAGTTTGATGGAGAATGTTGACGGTCGGCCTATGCTCCTCTATGAGTGTTAACAGGCGTAAGTAATTTTGTTTATCTTAGTACAATTAATAAAATGCAATTCAATAAAGGATAATATTTTCACTTGTTCATAGTGGATGAAAAAGTGGAAGTTAGCTGTGAATCGATGTAATAAGAAATAATTTATTCTCAACCAGGAATGTATAATTACAATACATAGATGAAAGTATAATTTTTCTTCATTCCGTTAGTTCGACATTTTTGTATAGGAATTAATGATAAGACAGAATCGGAAAAGAACTTCAACTATTTCAGTAGAAAATAAACATACATAAGACTATCTTTCCAGCTATGTATAATAGTTGGATGAACATGAAATAACCATTAATGCAACACATCTCTAAAAAGAAAAACTTGGATTATAGAATTTGTTTAATGTATGATTGCTTTTTTAATAAATAAACACCTAGATATACATATATAGGACTAGATACTCGTGAACAAGTTTTTAACTCGCTAAAACTAGTAAGATATTGAAACTCGGAAGATTAACATAATGTTATCATTTTGTATCTTCTAATTTGAGTCACAAGAACCAGTAGGAATCTTATTTTATTTTAATTTATTTGGACACATTGATATTGGTACATGGAGACACCAGATACATATGCGGCACACAAATCTCAAATGATTTGTATGAGGGCTGTGATACTGCCCGAGTGCTCAAACCGAAGCAGGTGGTTTTCTTAAGGGGCCACTCCCGGAGCCTTCGACCTGAATTTCTGATCCACAAGGCAGTGAAGCATCGTAAGGAGATGCAGTCCCATGGCAGCTGGTGACCAACGATTGGTTCATACGCCATTTGTTCTTTTAGGCTACTGGGTTCCATGTGCATCATTGGTTTGGAATCAGGCTTTCCCAACTCCCCTAGGTTGACTCTCCATGTCCACCAACCCGGTTGCAGCGCCGGACATTCGGTTTTCGTCCTCTCAATTTCGTAAACAACACCGCCATGAGAAAGCAATGAGTAGGACTTCCGTGGCAGTGGTTGTCTGCACGTGGCCATGTGAGAGCATTTCGTGAGAGAGGGCGAAATCTCCCCACTCTCGGCCGTACCAAAGCATTTGGGGGCTGTAGCAATCTTAGCTGTGCTCGTAACTATCCTATAGAGTATTAACCTAGTGCGATAGAAATTATGTTATGATAAAGCAATGTGTAGCTCATATTTTTCTTTTCTATCACGTGCTTCATGAAAAAATTTCTTCTGAACGATTAAAACAACTTCCTTTTGCTGATGCATTTTATCGCCTCCAACTTTGATAAAAATAACTGCTTAAAATACAGATAGATTAATAAAGCATCAACCGAATAGTGGAATTAATGTTCATTGAGGAATCATATGCAAACTACTGAGGCTATAATTTTGGAGCGGTTGATACAACAAATGTCTTGACGAAAAGCAAAACGAGTTGAGTCTGAAACAGTAGTATAATGCTTTCATTACCACATCAGTTTCGTAAAAATTGAGGAAATCTTAAAAATTGAATAACTGCACAACGTTATTTCGTGTTGTATAACCGTTGTACACTGTCACAACAAAACTTACTGAATTTCGTGAAATACTAGTCTAAAATGTAACTTGTTCCAAATATTCCAAAACGGAAAAACTACGAATATCCATTGATTAAAAGTACCTAACTATTCAGGTATCTTGTTAAATAGAAACTATTCAATAGGTTGTATCCAATAAGTAACGCGAAGAAATTGTTATTATTATTGATAATATATTCTATAACTCACGGAATCGACCATAAGAATGTCCCAAATATCTCAGTATGCATGCAAATATTCATTTTGTACAAACATATCGTAGATATTTTTTCTGCCTTTCAAGTCGTTTATCATTATTTTGTGTTTTGTGACTAAAACATTATACTACTTATAATTTAAAAGTAAACAAATGCTCGTTTGTAAATATAATAATTCCATAACGACTGCATCAATGGTTATATGAAGTTGATCGACCAGTTCTTTTTAAAATACAAGCCATACGTTGATCAAAGAAAAGATCTTCTAATGTCTTTGAATAGATATACTGACACTATTTATCACGGGCTGGTCATATTAAGTTTAAGCATTTGAACATAATACTGAAAATCTCGATTATAAAATATGCCAAAATTATCAGTAATAAATCAGATAGTTCTAACTATGATCTCATACAAAAAAAATACTATTACTTAGGTAAATTTCCAAACCAAACAGACTATTGTAATTGTCACACCTTTTCATTGAGCACACTGAAATTTAATAAATTCGTATGATGCTGCAATTTATCACAACAGACTACGAGTGTCGAAATTCTACAACATTGTGAGTTCGTGAATAGACATGTTACCACACGTTAAATAGATGAATACAAATCAAACTAGTATAATATAGCCAAAAAAATAATCAAGGTTTCTTCTTCTAAATTTATTCGGTAAAGCTTGCTTCGTACATACAATCAAATATTCTTTTTAACCTAATAGTTACAGGTAGCTTTCATAGTTTTATTAAATCTTCATCTAGATATTGAAGATATACATTTGTAAAGTCTTTTATCGATAACCATTTTATTCACATCTGTTTATTCACATCATTCTTATTGAGATAAAAAAAATTTTCCAGCAGTTGTTTGTTTTACCCATCAATTATTAAATCTATTGACTATTTACGTTAGATTTTATTTTCCCATCTACGAAGATGAAATAAGTATGAAACATTTATTTCCTTATAAAAACATTACTCTTGAAAATTTTAACTGATTTGACATTATCTATTGTGTCCCATATAACCTTTATTTACTTATTCATGTCCTATGTAAAATAACTCTCTATATGTTTTCTTTTATTCTCTATGAATACGGTCATTTATCAACCTTTTTGATTTCATATGCTTGAATTTGACACTATGGGATTAAATTTAAATAATAAAAAAACTTGAATAAAATCCTTCTAGATCTAATTTCCTTCATTGTCCCAAGAATAAATTTTAGTATAATTATTGTCAATTTCGGTTAAATAGGTCTCTAACTCTCTTTGTATTTATAATTCCACAAAAGTATATGTTTATTAGTTAACTTTGTTTTAAGCCTTCATTAAAAATTCATTGTCTTTAACAACACCATTTCTTTTATGTTATTATTTCCCATTTATGGTGTACTTAGTATTCCAAACTCATGTTGTACGATTACGGCTGTATTTCATGATGATATAGTTATTAAAAGTAATTAAATCGTATTTTTGAACTTCCTTTTAAATTTAAAGTCTGATAAATCATTATAAAGTTCCTTAAAATAGAGTATTTACAGCAGAAGAAAACCTATAGTTAACAGTATATTTCATATTAGTGCGGTATTCGAATATCTATGAAAGTGGAATATACAAAAGTTAAATCTAGTTAATTCACAGGTGATAGTCATTATTATAACATAAGAGTAAAGTTATATTCAGTGGATTTAGTAAACATTCCATGGCCATTCAATCTACTTGTATCTTTTTTAAGTAAGTGAACAATTATCTCATTTATTCAGTCATTAGAACTTGATTTTTAATCAGTGACATTTTATTTCATTAATTTGTGATATGTGTATCTAGACGATGTTTTATGTAGCATCTATGGAAGAACTAGTGGAAAACGATCAAAATTCACACAATATTGATTTTTATATCGATAAACAGATGTAGCAACGGAATCTCCATTTTCCTTGATTGATGTGGATTACTTTAGGAATTTCTTGAATAAAAATACTACCATTTAATTTAAGTTTTCGGAAAATGTCTGATCACGGTTTGTGCAAGGTACTCTGTTAATATGATAAGACAAAAGATTTAGAGCACATTTAAAACATGTGAAGTGTACAACATATGGCTTTAGTTTAACCCAGGAGAAATGATATATTACTCACAAAACAACATTTGTTGACTGCTGAATTGAAAGTTACTAGAAATCTTTAAAACGAAGTTATATATTCTATCAAAGATACAGACGATGAATAGGTTAAATGAAAATGAATCACATCTGTACTAAAGTGATTTCTTAAAGATTCTGTAGATAGAAAAATTAAAGTTGAATACAAGATAAAGTCAAAATACCAGCCATAACTTTTATTAGTACTTTCAATTAGTACAGTATAGATATACTGTAGTGGATTTTTTTTATCATTGATGAGTCCGCCTATTGTTCGCATAGCTAGTCCAAAATATTCCGAAGAACCTGAAAAAGATATATTGTTAATAATAATAAATACTTTGCATTTGAAGGATTTTTCAACTTTTGAAAAAGATTCAGGTACAGATATATTCTCGGGAATTATTTTACAAGGGAACTAAAACTAGTATTTAAAAAACTGGAGTTTCTGATTTCAGTAGACCGACTGTTACTCATAGGTGATTGAATACCGTGGAGAAAACCTTCACTTAGGAATAAATATGTCATGAAATTTTATGAAGAGACTACTGGAGAAGAAAACACTCAGAAGAATGTGTGACACGATTTTGAAAAATATAATTACTTCTAATGTTTATTCTGTATAAAATATAATAAAGAAGATTACTGTGTGTTGGTTGATGTTAAACAATAACATAACTTTTGAGTCTTTTCAATAAGAGTATGAATTAATTATTCATGTAGTCAAGTTCGTTAGACGTACACCGAAATAACTCATTAAACATCATGATTGTTTCAATATTTACAAATCCCTGACAATAACTATATCTTAATTGATTTGATCTCAATAAATATTTTATTCCAATTTCAATCAATAGTCACTAACTTGGGAGTAGATTTCCAACATTTCCAGTGACAAACAGTAATTACTTCAGCTCGCCTGGCATCAGGCCTGAGTGATATCAACTGTTGGTCAAACCATATCATTAACTAACTAAAATAAAAATTTGAGCTAACTGGTTTTAACTTACCAGAATAAGTGTATTGCTTTCACCCAGAGATTTGGAACTTTAAGGCTCGATTCCATGTGAGGTAGCATAGATATTATTAGGAAGTCCCAAGTTAAGATAGAATATTTCTCATATTTTATTGGTCTTCTAGATTATGTTAGTCAACGACAAGTTTTTCCAGCCTAAATATGATAAATAAAATGGATATATTATGAAATTAATCTATTGGAGATTTGTCACGATTAACTCATTTCTTACAAGGTTAATATGTATTTTAAAATAGGAATCGCATATTTATTCGCCAAAATTTATAAATTTCATATACCTGTTATCTGATTTATTTCTTCTCATACTCCACAGGAATCTTTTACCTTATTTAATTATAAAATAGTCACAACCTCAGAACAGAAAAAATACCGATGCCCCAGAATATTTAACGGAACTATTGTTTTCATCTTATCTTTTGAGATCCTAGGTCAATGATTAGGATAATTTTTAATGTTTCAGTATTAGAAAGTAAAATCCATAGGTTCTTCAAAATGATAAATATCTGTCCTAATCGAGTAAAAGTCTAAACACTTCGTCGGTGCACATATCTCAAACTTACTCTATTCATTTCACTTGTAGTCTATAGTATAGTGGTTGCAAGCCTGGAAATCCTCTACTGTAGTGTTTGCTACTGATATCAACAGATATAAATAGTATGTATCATCAATCGAAAATGAAATACCTGGCAGCAGAAGGTTAAGAAGAGTGAAGAAAACAGGACGAGAACAGTAAATAATTGCTATGGAACTGAAGGAACAATAAAGTCTGTGACGATTGATTGACATTTGCAAAAGGAACAGTCAAGTTTGAGACAATTGATTAACATTTTCCAAATAAAGAACTTACTGTTTGGTCCTCAGATTTTACTTAGATGTTCTGTAATTTTATGTTCAAATACATTTGGTTATGCCCAACATGTTCTCCTTCACTACATTACTTCTTCAGTTTGTTTGATTAGATTTACAATAATATTACATAACAGTTTCTATGATCAAATAAGAAGTAATCAAAATATTTATTATTCCCATTGGTTATCTTTGATGGAATATATGTACTTCACCGTATATATCCTATATATATATAGGGTATAATCCTTAGAAAATATAAATATTTCCCATATCATCTTCTTTATAATTATTGAGTTATTTAATTAAATATAATCAATAATGTTGTGAGAATAGTAAAATTACGAATCGCAATTACCGATTCGCCTATTACTGTTGAGAAAACTGAATTGTTCGTTTTTATGAACAGATGATATTCATTAAAATACTTTCTTTTAAGAAAACATTTTCATTTGTTCTTTATGATGATGAGAAATGAGTGTTTTAATTAAATTTTATAAAAATTTCTTGAAGGTAATTCCCACTCTTTATGGATAAATATTATTTGGGAAATCATTGATGATCAAGGATCTCTTATCGTTGTAAATGTTTATTTCATAGAATAGTTTCAGCAACTAATAGCTTTCCAAATATCAATAAAGCTATTTACTAATAGGATCATAGATTCACTTCTATTTAGTTTAAAATTATATGTTGGAAACTGATAGATCAATATTTTAAATAAAATGAAGTCAGAAAATTTAGATAATGGGACTTAGTGATTTGATATTATTGTATTGATCCTAAGATTGTAAATTTGTTTTATAGACGTATCAAATATAAGCGGACACTATGTTTACTGAGCAAAAATGGATAGTGGCTAGAAGTGGGATCCACAACGCACATTTCGTCCTATTTGAGACTCGTCAGCTGGATGCACCTGCATCGCAGAGTTGATGTTCACTCTGAGACTCAAACCCAGTACCTTTCGCTTTGAACGCCATCACGTTATTCACTTAGCTACTGAATCCTGGTAGCCACCTGCTTGTGCAAGATGATGAAGTTTAAATTCACTTGGTGTTGTTTTACTTGTATCTTTCCAATCGCAGTCAGTTGCAGTCTTAAATAACAGTGAGAAGATACAAGTAAAACAACACCAAGTGAATTTATGTTTAGCTACTTTACATTTTCAACAGCTTTTATAGATCTGATATTAACTGAGTATGAGAAACACATTCACATCGCACAAATATATTAAATTTAAAAACAAAATCACTTTTTATCAAAAGGTTGACCTCTAGACTTAACTGTATCTTAGAAATTAGGTGCTTTGCTTTTTATATCTTATTTGGATAAAAAGCAAAGGAAACTGAAAGGATTTTCGTGCAGGTTTAGTATGCTTAACAATAGTTGATCGTAATTCATTCATTTTTTAGAACACGAATTATAAAACATTTTATGTCGGGAATATTTATGCAGTATTACTTACTTACGCCTGTTAATACTCCTGGAGGAAGGTGGGCTAACCACCACCATTCTCTATTCAGCTCTGTTCTGGACAATCCTTCCACGTGTTTTCAGTTGTTATTCAACCTTTTGATGCCTGCTTCCAATTCCCGATGCAGTGTATTCTTTAGTCTTTCCTGAGATTTCCAAAGAATCTCAGCTTTCAACATGAGGCATCATAATTCTTCTGAATAATGATCCTTCAACTTCTAGGACAGAACTTAACTAATTTAAATTGTTTTTTTTGTTGAGCGTTTGTTTAGCAAGGTTGTTTTCTATGGGATGGGGTTACTGACCCCATACTCAACCCTCCTTTACGCGAGCTTGCGGCCGACAGTAACCCTAGAATAGCTAAGGGCAGAGTTATTTATGCAGTATAATGCATTTTAATTAAATGAATTTTAGTTACATTGTCATTTATCTCAAGACTTTTAGTTCCATAATTTTATTAAATAGTCGATGAATAATGGGGTTGTATAGAATATTGTGAGTGAATATGTTTAGTCATATAAGGAAAGTGGACATACTTATTCAACTGCTTCCTCTTTCACCACAGAATCCCTTCTATGCAAAATTAAATGAAAAGTCATAAATTCATTTTGTTTAGATTACAAATATATGACTATTTTTCTTATTGACTAATAATTTACTGTTGAGATATATGAATAAAGTACTTAATGTAACAATAAACACTTTTATCATTTTAATAAATAGGGATCATTTTGAGAGGGATTATCACGAAATAAAACTAGTTTCCTGCAGTTCTAGTGAGGAGAAGGGACCAGTGGAGTTCAACCGGGTCTGTTGTGAGGTAGTAACTCACTGAAGACAATAGTCGACGGTGGCTCAATTTCGTGGATTAGTCAAAGTTAGACATTAACATCGTTTGGTGCCAGCTCAGTAGTCTAGAGGTTAAGCGTTCGTGTGCGATACCGATAGGTACTGGATTCGAATCTCGCTGGGGGAGAGATCGTGGATGCGCACGCTGAAAATTCCCACAATTGGACGAAACTGCCGTTCAGTGCTTCTAGGTTTTCCATGGTGGTCCAGCTTCAATTGACTCATGATCCAAACTGTTGAAATTAAATAAATTTATTAAACTTCAATTATTCGGATGTACACATATAGATACAATAGAATCTCACCTATTAAGCTGGCTTAAATTAGAATATATTTGCAGTGATAAATTCTCGACTTCGAACAAGGCTAGTTATTCACCAAAGAAATCTATTTTCAATTAATTTTTTATCTCGTTGTCTATAATATGTGTATTTGTTAACCAGTTTTGAGGTTTAATTTCATTATATATATATATACGAAAACTCCGCCTGAAGCCCCTCTAGGGCTACTGCCTGTCCCAAGCCCTGATAAACGAGGAGGGTTGGGCATTGGGTTAGCGACCTCATCCCGTAGAAAACTAACTCGCTATAAAAATGCTAACCAGAAGAAACTATTCAAGTAATATATGTATACGGTTGTACAGCTTGATAATGAATTCGTTGATAGTGATATATTCTTTGAAATTTGTATTTCCACAGACATTTTTCGCTTCAATGTTCTTGTGTTTCTTTTTTAAACTTGATACAGTTTAGTGAAAGTAGAACACATGATATTAAAAAACACTCCTTTATGAACATAATTTTTTGTTTACTTTTGCTTATAAACAAGTTGAAAGTTATTGGGTGTTTTTTTTAAACACAACAAGAAAACTGATCTATGAAACTAGATTTTATATAAATAATTTTTGACAATGTATGTTCATTTATTTGCAAATTAGTTTAGTCTCTTCTACTCTAATAATTTTATAAATTTGACAATACAACAATCAGAATTTGTTAAACAAGTAAGCACAATTCTCTTTCAGTATACAAATAACGTTCACGTATTTAATATGAAAGTATCTACGTTTAAAGATTGAATATGCTTATTGTGTTTTTTTAAATCAACAAATACATTTGAAGTCGTTTATTGTGTCATTCTGCATAGCAACCACATTTAATATTCACATTATGATCACCAAATAGTTTTCATCAGTAAGTCATTTTATTTCGAAAAGATATAAATTAGATAATTTAATAGGTGTCACTGACTTTTGCCATGTTAATTTTCACGTGAAAAAATGGCCAGTCAGAACATCGACATATACGACTTTATCCATGTACAATACCAATAACGCGTTGATCAGCACGAGCAGCCTAGAGTCAATTCTTAATCTTTATTGGTTCTTCTTGCCTTGCTCAACACGTTGAGTTCAGAACATAATCTCAGCCTTCACTGTGTGAATCATCTATTTCAGACATACGCAGTTTACATACAAACAATTCGGATAACATCATACCATAAAATAGAAAATAACAATTATAAAATATCAAGCCAAAAGTGGTTGTGAATGTGAGAAGCTATAACTAATATATTGAGAATAACTTATGAATAATAAATTGTATAATAACAATCAATAAGTCAAATGAAAGCTTATGATCAAAGGAATACTAATATATACATATATAATCTAGTTACTGAATAATTATCCAATACGGATATTTGTAATAATATTCTGTAAATAAGTCCTAACAGTTACCATTCATTTATTTTTTGTTAAAGTATAACACTAGGGAAAAACAATTCACAAATCATCATTAGAATAGGATAAATCAATGACATTTTATATAACATTTCATCCAATCACTGTAGGACAATTATATTTTTGGTATAAAATAATTCCCAAACATATGACATGATAAAACTATTTTCAGTTTCTATTTTGAAGAAACTGTGCTACCATTAAATATTTGAGAAAGGAATTTCCTCTTCTAAATTTAAAAGCTTTCATGTGAGTTTTTATTTATTTATTTATGGCTTTAAACCTGTGTTAGGTTGTTTAAAATGATCAATTTCAAATTGTCCACATTTAATTTTTATTGAGAATACTTTTTTTTTTACCACGAATCAGAGTTAGATGATCAGCTATTACGCTACACACAGAACAATAAGGTTTGAGTAGTTAGAAATAAATATTTTCTTTTTTCTAATGTTTTTGTATTTGATCTGATAAATCTATATAGTTATTCAGAACCTAGTAACTGAATACATAATACCAAGTTCAAACTTTACCTAAACTATCGGTTATAATTTAGTTGGCATTTTCATATATAAAGTAATGCTACTTATGTAGACATAAGTAGTATACATCAGTCAGAAGTGAAATGCCTGACAGGTTGGGAAAATTGTATCAAAGTGAACGAGAATGTAAACCGAGAGTAATTGTAATAACAATGAAGGAGCGACAAAGTTTGAATCAAATGATGGAGAGTTTGCAAATGAAGTATTTAATCTACGGTTTTCACAGTTTATGAAAGAACTCTGTAATTTTGTATTAAAGTAGATTGGTTCACACCCTCCCCCAAATGAATGTTCATTCACTACAATGCCAATATTAGGATGAATAAACCAAAGGTTCATTTTACATCGTTAATAGAATAGCTTATTTTAAAAATAACTCAATGTTTTTCAATGTAAAAGTTATCAGTATTCACTAATATGCCTTAAGTAGACATAAAGTTTCTACAGATGATGCTTATATATACAATGAGAATTTTTATTACTAACGGTGTTTAATACATAAGACGTTTATGAATGTCCATAAAAACAATGTCTAGACATCTACTGAGGTGGTTATTTTGAGAAATGTCTCGTACAGTTTTAGATAACAATGTAAACCAGTGTTTTTAATTATTATGTTGTGATGGGGCATTTTAAAAAAAATAGAATCTTTGGTCTCATATGTCAACATAACATGATGAACTGATCAATCACTTCACTATCGTTGTGATAACTTGTTAGAATTATCGACTAAGCATTAAACTGTAATTTAAAAAGTTCCTTCCACAGTGCTAAGTAACTTACAGAATTCTAGTGATACTCTTCTTAAGAAACTCGATAAAACATAGAATAACCTAAAATAAAAACGTTAATTCTATTTAAAAATTCATTTTTCGTTAGAGGTTGTTTTGAAATGTTAGCTAATGTAGAAAACTGTTATCCGTAGTTGCTATATTAATTTCAAGAGTTGACTAAATTAAATTGCTAGTTTAGTGAAGTCATGACATTTTCGATGAAATCATGAACAGTCCAATCCTAGACTTCTATAAAAATCTAGAAGTGATGGATGGCCATTTCATCTTAGTATGGGACTCCTCAGCAGCACAAACCCACGACTACTCACGTAGGGATCGAACTTAGAACCTTTGGCTGCTGTTATGCTGGCTGTCTTGGCTTACATTTGTTGGTGTGTATGGGAGAGAAGAGTTAGGCGATTTGCGAAGTTCAAATTGTCTAGGTGCAACCAAACTGCTCATTGTATTCCGTGCTTTCTCTCAGATGCCAAGGCCTTCATAATCCAGTCGACCACCAGACGAAAGAGAAAGGGCGAGAGTAGGAAGCCTTGTCTGATTCCGGTCCTTACCTGGAAGGCATCTCTCAGCTGCCCTCCATGTACGACTTTGAAGTGTAGTCCGTCGTATGAATTTCGTGTGATTTTGACGATCTTCCCAGCTACCAACTACAAAATGTCGAAGAAGCTTCCATAAAGTCCTCCTATCCACACTGTCGAATACTTCTTGATAGTTAAGGAAGTTGATGTATGGTGAAGAGTCCCATTCAATGATTACTCAACGATGATCTTTAGTGTAGTGATTTGGTCTGTACACGACTGATCTTTACGGAATCTAGCCTGTTGATCTCGAAGCTGGACGTCTACTGAATCTTTCACCCTGATTAGCAACACTGTTGAAAATGTTTCCTGATACCGACAGTATTAATGATTATAATTTATTTATTTTAATTTTTTCCATGTTCGGATTTAATAAACTCATTAAATAATTATGAGAGCAAATTAGTTCAAGTATAGGTTTTAATGAAGTCTTGATTGTTCGAGTTATAATTTGACTTTAGCTGGTGTTGAAAATGTCTGACTCATTGAATAAATGTGTTTTCTTGCATTCTTTTTCGTTGATTTACTAAAATATCTTTTTTCTGTTCTATTCCGAACTATATTTGGAAACAAATAAATTAAAGGGAAACGCAAAAAAAACATTCCCTGTTATAAATATTTAATTAGTTTGTGTGTAATTGTATCGAAATATATTTACTTATATTTATTAATTTAAAGAGTCAGTTACGTCAAGTTGAGACAAAGTTAGGGATCGTTCTCTGTTAACAACCAAAGCCAACTCATTTGAACAAAGTTAAACGGAACTGGACGTGAATGAACATTCACTTCCTCTTCCATGACCTTTAAATACTGAGTATTATGTGCTGTACATAATCTTCAAGCCAGGAATAACTAGAGACCTAAATAATGTTTGAACCCCTATCTTCTCGTTTAAGATATTGCCATTTGTATAGTTCAGCAATAGTGAATTGCGCTCACACTATATAAGATATTTTAAGTGTTAGGCCGATTTTTCTCTACAATAATGTGAGGTGAAATTTAAAGAAAAGTGGATTAGTTGTATAATTTGCATCAGGGGCTTCTAAGTAATGGACTTTAGAATTCACTGTTTATATTACAATACCCAACAAACTATAGATAGTTCAAAATTAAACCCCTTTTTTTCTAGTAAACAGAAAATATCTCTGCCATTAATATATATCTCATCCAAACCAACTACAAATTAGTAAATCATTCTATGCCTACAACCAGCTGATGGGTTACTGTCATAAAATTTCTATAAAATATTAGAAATTTTGCACTGACAAATTAACCCTACAAGCTATAATATTATTTTCATAAATTTGTAGACAGATTTTAAAATGATTACACAGAAAATATGTCAACATTCATTTCATCTTTATTCGTTGTTTTCCTATAAACCTGGTTCAATTTATCATATGAGCATCTAAATAAATGAATAGAGATTTTAGTGGATATCATCCTAGTGTACTATATTTATGTTGTTATAGAATGTAATTTCAGCTTCCATTTTTCTCAGGGCACAACACATTGAGAAGTGAAACCGACTTTAGATCAACGGAACCATATATAGCTACATTTTTAGTAAACTAAAAACTTTAACGGAAGTGATAATTTATTTTGTATCCAAACATGACAACACTATGATATTTTGTATACACGTGTTGATTCAGTTTCTTTTCTAGTTATCGAAATCCAGTCTGTTTTAATTGTACCCTACCTAGAAAAATGGTAAAGTTTAGTAATGAGTGAAATTTATGATTTTATTCAGAAGTACAGAATATATTCTTTCCCATATAGTAAATGGTGAACATCACATTTGATTAGAAAAATCTCTCATGGTTTCACGTCAAATACCGAACAATCTATTAAAATTAGCATGATTAGGCATTTTCTAAATAACTGACGTCATCAGGATTAACTCCTTCCTATGTATTCAAAAAAAGCTTTATTCACCATTTCTGTTTATCACGATCTATCTGTGGGTCACCCTGTACATAAGTCATATGTTACATGCTCTTAACTCATAACACTTTTAAATTTATCTCTGCCCTTCTCTTATTTTGAATTGAGTGTTAACTTTCCGAATTTCAGGTGAATTAATTATGATCATTATCATAATTACACGGAAAATATTTCTCTTAATACATATTATATCTAGACGACCTTATTAATGTTATTAACATTACTACAATAATCTCAACCATCGCGATACAGATTATATTCATGTGATTTATCATATTTCACTGATTGCAATTCAACACCTTACAGCAAATTTTACTACCCCTTGCTAGAATGACATTTGTAATGAAGGCATGCTGGACATATTAAAACATTTACATGTCCTAACTCATAACTTATTTGTGTATACGCTATTTTGGCGAATGTAATTTGATCATTTTTACTTTAGAATTGTAAAATCTGTTGATAAATATATGGAGAACATTTGTTCAGTCAAATACTCCTTGTTTTTAAATATAGTAAATTACTTCAAAAGTGAATCAAGATTTGTGCCTGTTTTATTAATTATAAATCCTTCATTAACAAATAAATCACTCTGTAATTAAAAATCATATCTTTAAAAGGCGTTGTTACCTTAATTAGCTGTTTTCTGAAATTCTAATTGTGTGGCTATCAGGATTCAGTAGCTAAGGGAATAACGCGATGGCGTTTGAAGTGAACGGTACTGGGTTCGAATCCCATAGTGGACATCAAATCTGAGATGCAGGTGTCTTCAGCTGACGAGTCTAAAATGGGACGAAACGCGCGTTCTGGGTTCCACTTCTACCCACTATCCATCTTTGTTTATAATGCTTGTGAATTAGGGCGATAATGAAGCCATACGCATAGTATGCACATATGCCAATAAGTGACTCATCAATTACAGTCCTAAATATCAATGGGAAGATTCAAGTAAACAATACCAAGTGAATCTATTAGTGTATTTATTTACAATTTCTACATTTTAATAATTCATTCTGAGTTAACTAATATTTTGTAGGTATTTTTAAATTAACCAGTTTTTATTTATAATTAGTTGGCAGAAATTTCAAAATTATAAGAAATTTGAATTAACCTCTCAAAATGATTAGTTATGCTTTATCAAGATTAATAAAGGCAGAAGTTTGAAATTTTAAAATTTGTGATTTTGATTCAGATCATGAGTAACAAGTTCACTATATTAATCCAGCATTTATCCAATCTCATTCATTTATGAAAAATGTACTTTTGTACTGGTTCGTTACTAAATAAGGCATATAGAAAGATGTAATTGCACTATGTTGTTGAAGCTACTCACTTTGTGAAGAAAAGTATTCCTATGCCAAATGTGGAGTTATATGATTTCTAACTATTTATTACTAATCTTTTATAGTTTTAGTGTTACTGGTTTCCTACTTTCAGTAACTGAAAGTATTTCTTGCATAATAACTTTATTTTACTTAAACATGCCAGTCATTTCAAGCATCCATCAAACTTTACGCGGCTTTATATCCTTTTCATAACTCATGAAAAAGTTAATTAGCAATTCGCATACTAATAAAGAAAATTCTAGAAGAACAAAACTGAAAGATTATAATATCTATTTTACTTTGTTAATTAGGTCTCAACACGTTTATAGGTTGCTGATGTTTTTGTAGATGGCGAATTATTCCTTCCGTTCATGTGTGAAGTATAATTGGTCAAGTCCTAATCACGATCGAATACATTTTTAGGAAGAATATTTGTTATACATCTCTAAGAGCAATTGTAATTACATTAAGACCACATTCGAACTATGTTTAAAACTAAAAACACCATTTTTCTTAGTGTATTTTAATAATGGTACTGCCGTTTCGGTTATTATGTTAAGCCTACATACATTATTCTGGCTTTCGGACAGGTCAACCTATTCATTCTACTTGAGTCGTATTTCGACCTTGTTAATTATTCGCTTACCAATCTTGACTGTTTTTGTATAAGTGCATAGGTGTGTACACTTCCTATCCTATTCATCACATGTCAGTAGCTTATTTTTGTGTGACGATAAATATTGATTAACACTTGACTAAATGGAGTTGGCTTACGAGCCTTCTTCATTGCGCGTCATTTCAATTCGCTCTCTTCTCTTCGCTTCTCTGATATTTTGTCTGGATCAAAGATCGTATGAAATATACGTATTCGAGATCCATTCTCGTATTTGACCTATTTAATTCCGTTATTGACTAACTCGATTTAAGTCGATGATTATATACGAGGATTGACGATATGTATATCTCAATAGCAATCAAAAATGATCAAACTGGAGTCAGATCCCTGACCACTAAAAGACAATAGTTTTTCCATTCTTTTTGTTCCAGGAAAGGTCATGAACATACATTAGTGAAAACTCCTTCAAAATCATGTACAAATAATAATGAATGCATTGGATCACACATAAGTCCCAATAATTCTACAAAAGCCTATAACACTGAAGTGAGTCTTATTAGTTTTAAAATGAGTATACTATTTAGTTTAATGAAGAATTTTAAGTTAAGTTTCGTCCTTATCACTGATAAAGTATATCAGCTGTATTGTGGAATTATTACTTTTTTATGAGTAACTCATATATTATAAAATATCATAGCTTGAAAGGAAGAAAATTACATTATTTTTATATCAGTATAACATTTTGAGAAAGGATTAACCACAATTCATGAAAACAGGAAATTATATATAGCAGAGAGATTACATTTTTCATTTATATAGTGAGCTTAATAAAAAAAAGCTACGTAATAAATACATACTGATTCTATTTGTATTTAATGATTGTTTATTTAGTTTATTGAACTAACCAAGATTATCTGGACAGGAATTGGGACAGTTGGTTCAGTAATTACAATATGCAGCATGTTAACTGCTATATTGATATATACAGTATATCCGTAAGTATTAGTGTTACGTAGGTTATATATGTTTATCTCTAATATTACTTACGGATTCAACAAAATTTTGACAAACAATTTTTTTACAAACTACGGTTGTTAATAATAAAATTTGTCAATAGGAAATTTATGAAGATTGTTCATCTTGAATTAAGTCTTCATCACGGACTGATGTAAGTCGTAGTTTCGGATTTCCTATTAGTTTGAACTCAGGAATTCACATAGGGTAGAAATCGACATAGTTAGGTCAAGCTAATGGCACATTTCTATGGAAGAATATTTAATTAATGGAGTTTAATCAGTTATACAGTGAACAGTTCATCATCAATACACTGAAATGATCTCAGTGACTGAAATTTTAAGAAATTCCGACGGTTCACCTACCAAATTTGTCTGGGTTCCTTCACGGTGATAGTCAAAATCGGCGTCCAACATATGTCAAACTATTCGTTTAAATATTGACAAATATTTGTATAAATTCATCATCAGTGTTCTCCAGTAATGGGAATGTATACAACTGAATATCATCTGGTCTCACATTCACCGTGAAACATACATCTTTTGAGTGCTATTCTGAGTTGGATTTTTACGAAACAATAACGAAATAATTCACTCTTCCCACCTGTTTCTTAGTGGCTCTCAAGCTGATGTTTGATTGCGATTAAAAACGATTTAAAATGAACCACTATTTAATCAAATTTACGTTTTAAAATGTCCTCTGAAGATAAAATACTCCGAAATTTGCTTACATACGTCCTTGTGGATAAAGCGGAATGAAATTATTTGTTTTCGTTTGATATTGCCCATAAAATTCATTCGTTTTGTTTTAATTGATGAAACTGACATTACAAGGAAAATAACGCGAAGCTCCAAACGTCGTTAGCTAAGTCATGAAAGTTTCAGGTTGAGTGATCTAAGTGCGTCAACTGTTATGATAACTGCAAATGGAATAATACTATGTTTGAAAATATAAATCAAATATTTCTACTTAGACACTAGGAATACAACTTCAGGGAAGAAATATTTCTTTGTCATTTGCTCATCATCAAGGCAGAACAAAGTATGTTTGAAGCACTAAAATAAAGATTACTAGGTATAATTATCGTCTTACCTGAATCCATTAAAAATTGTCCGATATGGCTGCACTGTTACTTAGCTAGTTAAGTAGTAGTACTAAATACGGGATATGCTTTTCAACCTACTTGGAACGCATCAACAACAAAAAAATACTAACCCTTACGGATTAATTCATCCCCTCTGGCTCTCTGGACTCAATGCCTCAATCGATAATACATCAGAATTTAAAGTGATGGAAAATGGATTCAAGTCTCAGCTCAAGCACCAATACTGATGGAGTTATATCCAACTGACTAGTCCCAAATAAGATTAAATGCGCTTTCTGAATTCCTGTCTTAGCCAATGGATACAATTTACTGTAAATTTTTACTGTGAAATCTTACACAATCGAAACTTCAAAATATCATGATAAATTTGTTCACTTTTAAAATCTGATAAATTTATTACATTTATGCATTCCACTTTCAATAGCTTTATCTTTGAATTTAAAAGTAGATAACCTTGGAGCAGAAAATTTTATTATTTCTTCATACCTCATGATTATCCGTAGTAATTATCCACCAGTAAAATCTTTTGTCATCACCACTGATATAAGCATCTTTCACAAGTATCAAAAACGATTAACATTGGAAGAAACTTCAGTCTGATGCCTAACTTTACATCCAAACGCCTAGACATATTTCGATTCAGAAACCTAAGATACTATGGTATCTCTTAGAAAATACCCCCATCTGTGGTCATCATATTGTAGTAGACGCTACTCACAAGATTGTTTGTAAGTAGCATGTAACGGAATGTGACGTTGGAGTTACAGTAATTGTCAGACAGAGTAAAGAGTTTAAGTACATCGAAAGCATGGCGTTGACAGAAAGCTTGGAGGTTAATGGAGAAGACAATTTAGACTGCAGAACATACCGGGAAATGCCAATGAACGATTGGAAGGCTTTGTATACATATTATGTAAATACCTTACTTGTTATCATGTTTCGCGCTATGACTAGATTCAATGTATTACAACGATAAATAAGTCATTATTGTTTTTATCAATCCTTCACAGTCGATGCAGTTTTCATCCTTGTGAATTTAAAGGAACATAATATCTAGTACTATTTTGAAATATCTGACTCAATGAACAGAAATTCAAGAATACAGGCCCAAGCACACTTATCGCATCATACTAAAAAATTGAGAAAAATTCAAAAGGATTTCCTCAATGAAAAATTGTCATAAAATGCAGCGAGACTATAATCTATGGACGGACCAATCGAATTTAAGACAACAGGTCTCGATTTTTAGCGCGAAATTCATACACTCATTTGGCTAATGTCAGTTCGTGATGAAAACCCTAAATTTAGTTCTTAACTATCAACCGTAAATCATAATCACAATTCCTCACTGATTTATAACGCTCATTTAGTCCTAGTTAGTAGATGAACGTTCTCAAGGTCATCTTAGCGTTGCTCAAAGGTCGTCCATAAATTATAGTCTCACTGAAAAAACTGTTAGTTTTCTCAACTGAACTAATTTTCAAGTAAAATGTTAATTTACTTGTTATTTTCAGAAGTTTACGAAATTTCAGATTTAGAATACATCTTCATTTATTCTTCGCATTACTACTGGAATCTATTGCACAGCTTATATTGTCTTATCTTTTGTTAAGTAAAGTTAATCAAATAAATGTGAATAATGTTGAAAATGAAACAATACATCAACCATTCTCAAGTTCAAAAGAGATGATGTACAGTCCCAATTCACAATCAGTATGTATTTAAAATATCTTGTTAGATTTTATCATAAATAATCACTTCAAGTTTGTAAATGAATATGTATTATTACTTAAAAACACTTTACTAATATATATATTGACTAGTTTTACAATCAATTTCAAGCTTTATGATGTTATTACCGGCAGTTGGATGATGGTAAGAGTTTTTCTCATTGAGAAATCAAGATAGATTTATTAAGTCACACAATGCAATAATTTATCAAGTGTAATAGTATACTTGTAAATGTAAAAGTGAAGTACATTGCAATCTACATTATCCACCTAACCAAAAATTATACACCCACTAATATTCGTTGGGTCATTATGATTGTATATAAATATGCAGGTTCACGTTCATAAAGTAACTTATCAGAATATCTCTGAATATGTTTCATTACGTTATCCTGATGATTAACTATTTGATCAAATATCATTTTAGTTATAATGTGACTACTGCATAAAACTATTGATACGTTACTTTAAGGGCAGAATTTTAGACTACTGTCTACATTGTTTGTCTTATTTACTGGTAGAATGTAAGCCAGTATATTTACTGACTGATGACCGATCTAGAGATATCAAGGCTTGAGAAAGTCCTTTGTATACACTGTATTGTAGATAAAAGCAAGGTTTCTCCAGTTGTTTGTCAAAATGACATTCACAGTTTCATATCGCCAGTTAGCGATATGAAACTTAGATCAAAAGTTAAAGAATTGTCAATAATCATATTCGTCTCACAAATTCATTTATTCAGTCTCAAATATATATTTATTTTCCAAAATAATATTCAATAACATGTCTGTTAATAATGATAGTAACAATAATGTTAATAATAACAGGTTTGCTAATAATGATAACAGAAAAAAGTAAAATAAAAGACACAAAGAGTATGTCTTTCCGACTGTACAACTTTGAAGATGAGTCCACTGAAAAGAGAATTGTTCTTACAAAATGATTTGTTATACATCTAGAAAAAAGAACAGAATTAAGTAAACATATTGAAGTAGATTATATCAGCTAATAAAGCAAATGATAAGCAATTATCAAGTAGATCACATATTTATCACGACTGAACATTAATGTATAACTTATGAGACTAAATCTTGTATTCAAAAGGGATTTGTATAACTATAACTTTCTCAGACATAATATTCGATGAAGAAGGGTAATTTACACATAACCTAAGATAACCTTTTTCAATTTTAGACATAAATACTAATGTAGAGCCATGATGTCTTGAATTTAATTCCAAATGAAATAGTTCTGTTTATAGGGATAAGGCTAATACTACAATTAGTACTTGGTGTGAATGAATGGTTGCAACTATCTGATAAAAAGCTGTTTATGTAAATAACTTTAGTTCGAGTACATGCTTGAATTCTATTTCTTAGGATAAATTTCATTCTCAACATCTTTTTAGCCTAAAATAGTAAATTCCTGTCTCTTTAGGTATGCTAATAAGATCACTGATATTGATTGGAAATATAAAATATATAATTACATAACAAAAGGAAATAACTGTAATACTTCTGATCGTATGACTCTGATCCGTTGCTATACACTACAGCTTCGTTCAACCGTACAGATATTGTAGCTGTTTCAACAAATGGAATCCGATTGAACTAAATAAATGAAGTTTCAGTAATATGAATATGCTAACTTTATTGACAAAACCAAAACGTCTATCCGTATTTATAGAAAAAAATCACTGCCCATGTGACAACACAATAATATATTGAATATTTGTGAGCCGCAACTAATGACATTTTAAATAAAAGACGATAAACTAGTTTTGCTAACCCTATCAACCTACATTATACATTTATCGAAAATAAGGAAACATCGGATAGTCGTTTAACTGTAGTATAGCGCTCCTCAGAGACAAACACTCGCAATATTTCTATTGGGAATCGAACTCAAGACCTTTGGTCTTGAGTGTGAGCGCCTACTTCGTAGACCACGGGGCTGAAATCCAGTGGTGCGTATGTCTAATCTTAATCAATTCATGACATTGCGTGATCATCCTTAAGGGTCTAGAGCTCACTTCTCTATGAGTGGATTGTGGGTGAACACGTCGGACGAGCCACATTCTATAGAGAAACAGCTGTTCAGTATTTCCCGGTATTCAATAGATGTATAACATTGTGATATTCATAAAACTCAACAACCTCCACAAATTCCTACACTGATACTCCTTGTTTATACTGACTTTTCTTTTTTAACAAGTGAATGCTAAATGAAAGTCTTTATATATGAATTGATTAATTGCTACTTGTATTTAAAACAATTATTATAATTACGATTGTTTCTGTTATTATTATTTCTGTTAACGAACATCAGATTAGGAAAACACATGAAAATGATCCTGATCTCTTTAAAAGACATCAAACTTTAGCTAATAATAATTATTACAGTAATAATTAAAACTTGAACATTATCTTTGCCTATCTTTAATATGCAGACTTGAATCTAATGTTTTCTTGTTTGATGATCATAAATAACCACCATTATTAGTTAAAAAGATTCAAATCTTTGTAATTTAAATCCAAGTGTGTATCAAACAAGGGTGTTCAGTTATATCACAAAGCTAAGTGATGCTTAAGTTTATTTTTCTGAAAATGAATAATAGTTTGTTGTTTTTCTTCAACATGTACGGACACAAACTGAAACAATTAAAAACAACGAGTAATAACTAAACTGTTAAGTCACTCTAGTTCATCCCACTCTAATTGACTAAACTGGTAGTTATGTACATCTATTCAAACTTGACAATCTTTGATCTATCTATACAATGATTACAATACCTTTTAGATCGTTAATATTGAGAGCCTTAGAGAAATGTAGTTAGTATAATAATGATAAATAACTTTCAAGTAATTCACATAATCTTATAGTTTATTTTGAGATATACTTTGTATTACTGTCAAAACTCTATGGTTTTATTTCAGAAAAAGATTCATATATAGAAATTGCAACTATTTCTAATGATTTTTAATGATACAGTTTATTAAACTGAATTTATATACTTTGAATGATACACATTCCAAATGACTTAAATTATTCATATTAAGAAACTATGTTGTCAACTAGAACAAATCAAGTACTGTAACACACCAAGTGAAAGAATATCTCTTGTTTATTCACAATGTGATTTAGTTTCAATCTGAAATTTCTTATTACTCCATTCATGCAAAACTAAATTATACAGTAATATTGTTATCACGAGCAGCATTACCAGCTAAATCTAAAACTTCCGCAGCCAGATATTCGAGAATCGCAGCTAGATAGACTGGAGCACCAGCACCAACTCGTTCAGCGTAATTGCCCTTGCGTAGAAGATGATGTACACGACCAACAGGGAATTGGAGACCAGCACGGGCCGACTTTGTTCTAGCCTTACTACGAACATTTCCACCTTTATCGCGTCCACTCATTACTTTATCTGCAGCAATTTGGAAGACTCTCCCGGTCTCCCACATTGTACGAGTATTCCATGTGCCTAAATAAATGGTTGCTCTGGTTGTCAGAAGGGGCATCGGTTTCGTGACTTCCGAAGGAATTCGGCTTTCATCATGAGGCGTCATAACTCTTCTAAATGCAGACCTTCTGACTCCCAGGGCAGAGTTTAAGAGGTTTGAATAACTTTTTCTGGTTAGCGTTTTTTTAGCGAGTTAGTTTTCTACAGGATGGGGTCGCTAACCCCATGCCCAACCTCCCTCCTTTATCCAGGCTTGGGACCAACAGTAGCCTTCGGAGGGACTCCAAGCGGAGTTATACAGTATTACTAATTAAACACAAATTAATATAAAAAATAAATAAAAATGATTTTACATAATTTACTCAATAATAGGTATATATGTGTATGCAGAAATCTATAGAAACACATTAATCTACATTTAATTACTACCTACTCATAAAAATAAATACCATATTGTTTAGCTGTTTGAGTTCATCAAACTGTAATGCAGTTACTAGTTTCAATGATTTTATCCGATATTCGTTAGTTGAAAGTAAAAACCAGTAAGGAATGTTTATTGTAGCATTCATCAGTTGATCATTTTTCAACTACATTCTAGCCTATGACATAGACTAAGATTACTTACTTATTGATGTCTAATATTTCTTCAATTAAAATCAAAAACTGACTATTTATAAACTTTATAGTGTAGTGAACAAGAACATGAGTGTGGACAATCGAACGTATTTAACACAAAATTACAGGACTTGTTAATAAAATCTAGCAATCATAAAGTAAATGCTTATTTTGCAAAATGTCGACCAATTGTCTCAAAATGACTTAGACTTCATTGTTCTTGCATCTCCATACGAATCGCATCCTGTTTCCATTCTTTACTATTCGATCCTCTTGTATATCTGCTGCCAGACTTTCTGTTCACGACTAACGTCATATACTACTTATGTCAATATAAATAGCACGCACCACAATAGTAATTCCGACTTATTTTTTCAAACTAAAATGCTTGAATTACGTAAAATCTATTCTTTACGTTTTCAACAGTATTATTAAGATTTACTTTGGTTTTATAATAATCATTCCTTATTTAATATTTTTCATAATTATAATATTTAGAAGGATAATTCTTCATATCATACACTGTATAATGTTCTACTAATTTTAACTTTTGATTATTCCTTCGAAGTAGTTGTAGATTCAATTCAATAGTGAGTGATATTTAAGCAACAGAAATATCTTCTATCTAACAGGAATTTGGAAATGATCTTCAAAGAATAGATAAACGATTAATGACTTCAAATATTAAAAAGTCCTTGTGTTTTGTAATATTTTATTGAAAAAAATTAAGAATATGTAAGATATACACTTTCTGTATGCAATTTACTATAGATGTGTAGTTTATTCAAGATAAATTGTATGTACAACTTACGTTGAAATTAATTCTATCATCATGCATTTTGTGATGTGATTCAACTAACTTCTTGTTACTTATAGTCTCTACATAAAACAACGATTGACGAGTACTTGTTATATTTATTGTAGACATATATAATTATACAGAATACTATGATAATTATCTGGGAATTATGTCAAACTTGTGTTTTCACATGGACATTTATCGAAGGAATTCATATACACGAATTAATTGTCGTTTCAGTATTTCAACCGTCAGTGAATATGTATCCTTTGATGATTGCAGCATGGGGTAAGTAATGTAATTGGTTTCTTTAGTAATACACAAAATTACTTGATGAGATTATAATATGTTGAATAAATCAAAACAGCCCTTACATGTCCGAAAAAAGGTATCGATTGTCTTTTTATAAGAACACAAATCATATTCCTATCTCTTATAAGACACTTATATGTAGAAAAATTTGGATGTTTTGCAATGAGTTTTCCTCTTAACAAAGCACATGATAATTTGTAGGCATTCACAGTTTGTCTCAGTGTGAACAATAAAAAAAGATTGACATTTTTGATGTTATGTAACACAAAATATAATCACTCTTTTGTTTACCGATTGAAGTTTATAACAAGGAATTTGTATCTCTATAACCTTCTGATCTAAATACCTGTAGTTTATTATAATACATATTGAAGTATCACTAAATATATTGTAAGAAAAATACGACTTCTGCTATTTAGTTGGTCAGTGGTATCCTGAAAACACTTTTTTACACTAGTAGAAAATGAATTATTCAGTAGTTTAATCGTACCAGTATCACAGACGTACTTCATTATAGGATGTATTTTATGACAACAGCATATGTATGAACATGTGAAGCGTGTGGGTTAAAAACTGATTGATTAAAATCAAACAGGTTTTTGCATATTTAGAACTTTCTAATTTTGCTTTTTAAGAAATGACAAACTGAATGCTTCCACACAGTTATCATTCCATTGCCTAGTATACACCTTTTTCATTTCAATAAATGCAAAATCATCTTGTTTGATTCCACACATCAATCTTATTGATAAATCTGAACGAAACAAAACAGAAGATACATATAATAAAATAGTTAAATATTATCTAAATGACTCTCATCAACTTCAAACAATTCAAAGCTATCAAGAATAATATTACCGGAAACAAAATCTTGATATAGTTTAGTTACTGAAATTAAGACGTTGATTTCTATTCGGATTATTGGAATTACATACAACTGACGATATAAGAGTGGAACAAAAAGCTGATGGGATTTATTATGTGACTACTGTTCAAAATATATTGTTTAATGGGCTTGAAGTAAACGTAAACACTTATATTGATACTTTCTGGTAGATGAAAAGATTACAAATTTTGTGACTGAAAGCTTAAATAATATTTTTATATATCATCCAACTTAGAGGTGACTCTCATAAATTCTTTTATAAATACACATAACAACTGGTTTCTAGACATTTAATTATTTTTCTATTCCTTCTTACAGTTGTACCTATTTTCATAACAGGACTGTGGCTAAGTGCATGGCTATATACAAATAAAATAGAAGTGTAAGTTCAGTATTACTTAAATAAGTAATAAATTCTAAGCTTCTCTTGATTTTAATGTATTTTCGGAACAAGCTTAATAACGACTTAACAATTGTATTTGATTTTACCTAAATAAGTCTTGACAATAACAAATATATTACCACCTATCCATTGGTTAACTTATTACTAATTCATATTATGAACATGATATACGAAAGTCCATGCGGTTAGTTATCTAATTCTCTGATATTCACCATACTATGAAGTTTTTTATATCTCCTTCATTTCAGTGGTAGATAAATATGTTATACTACAGTGGTGTTATGGAAATCCTGTATTATTTAAAGCTAGTTTTAGTCGCGACTTGAAACAACATGAAGAACCACTAAAAAGCCGAAAGCAGTTGATCAAAATTTCGACGCATTTTAGGGATGCTCAACAGAACTGGTTTAAGAAATCAGAAATAACATTTTTGCTGGACTCTCATATATAGCAATAAGAGACATAACATGCACTGACTTAATTCCAATTCAATGGTACACACTATTAGTTTAAGTCACTTCCTATGTGCCATTCTAAAACATTTTGATAATTCTGAATGAAGCACATCCCTGATACAACTATATCATTTCTAGTTAGAAATATGTTAGCGGAAAATTAGTCTCATATATCTGATATAATGGTTTCTCACAAATGACTGAACGTGTCTTATTATTAAGACTAATGTATTTGGGCATACTTAAAGCCCTGTATTAATTAAATTTACTCACTGTATACATTTTTTACCCATGGAATGATATCAATTGATTCCTTAAAGATGGAAATTTTAATTTTGACATCCCAACTAATAAGCAAAATAGAAAATGATTAATTATGCACATTATGGCATTGTTTCATACAATCAGATAATATACTGCACTAAATCTGGGAATAAATATTTACGTCATATGCAATCTAAGACGGATGTTCAAACTTTAGTAGCAAAGTAGAAGTAAATATTAAATAGAAAACTTCAAATTGATAGCTTCATCCTCAATATCTCATACACAGATGAAAAACTGGAATTTGTCGATGTTGACAATTCGATATTTCAATGGTTAAGATCATCAGTCAGTTGAAGGTCGACCACCATGGAAAACCTGGAAGCACTGGACGGCCATTTCGATATTTCACTATTGATTCCGTGAATACAAATAAAACCTGCTTTTTATTGGATGGATTCAAAAATTTAACTAAACTACAAATTTGACCATATATCCGACCACATATATAAAATAGAACAGTGTTACAAGTCACAATTATACACAATAAATTGGAATTCTAAAGTTGTACTAATTATTCTTTTCATCGAGAACTAAGCTAATGTTTTCAAATACTGATTAGCTAATTTGCCTAAAAGTTACAGTAAAACGCACTGCATAAAATTTCCGACCATACGAATTGAATATTTCCCTTATTCGACATACTCAAATTAGTATATTGAAAAAAAAACTTTATTTAAGCTTCTATTCGCAATTTCATTTAATAAAATATTATAAACAAACTGTACTGCCGTTTTCTTCATATTTATTTCGCTTATCAAGAAGCTGGTCATTTTATACATTTCATTCAACTTACTGGATTTTGAATAGTTTCAGATTAATTTTACTATCGGTAAGCTATTTTTCATATTCATCCTTGGTTAAGATACTGAATTAATTGTTTTGACAGTAATTATTCAGATATAACATACCTACTTTATAATTTATTATGCTCTTGATATATAGACCGAAATAAATTAAAAACCATGCCAAGAACCAAGAATTCGATTAAAATATTAGATTACTTTCATTTGAAAAGAAACCCTTTATAATAAGCAATAATCATTAGCATAACTAAACAACCAACAGTCAGATAAGTTTAAACAAAACAACAATAATAATATTTAAAGAATATGATCAAGTGATTTCCTTTTAAGGACTTTGTTCATTTACAAGCAACCCAAACGTACAAAGGATCATATTATTAGAAACAAGGAATTGACATGCATTAGTTAATGAGTTTAAGACGCCTCGTTTCGAAAACTTAATTGCCCAGTTACACTACAAATCTTTTTTGAAACTCAACTGACTATAATATCCAAAAGAACAAAATAATATTTTTAGAAATTCCTTCTTTTAAACTATTCTTTTCGAATGACGCAGATAAACCTTTAATGCATTAAAGCATAAATAACCGCGATTATTCCTTCTAATATCTGTGACGTACAATTTATTTATCTATTCAAGTTATTTATTTATTTCCTTATGCACATGAGATTTTTCCTTATTTGACGAAAATTTACTAGACGAATATGGCTTTCCTTTTCAATGTAATCCGAGCTCTTGTTCGAAGACTTCAGACAAACTATGCACCGGAAATTCTGAAATTAAAGTATGTGTTTACTTTCAATTAGCTATTTAATTACGACAAATGTTTTATTTACAAAAGTCAATATCAATAAAATACCCTGAGTAAAATGGTGATATTCTAGTTAAAGATAAAACTTAAGATTTCATAGAGATTACTTCATGTCTGTTTATTAAATCACATTCAGGTTTGTACGATTTGTGTCACGGAAGAACCCATGTTTTTAAAACTACAGGTTTCTTTATCATATAAACAGTATGCAGAATCATATTAGTAGCGGTTGCAGAATAAACCTATTTGTAAAATTGCTGACAATGAGTAAGATCATTCTCAGTAGTGAGACTCATTTAAATTCTATTTTTTATTGATTAAAATAGTTAATTAACGTGATCAATAAGCAAGCGGACGATTTTCACAAGACTGAAAGCCCATAAAATAAAAACGATTCACAGACCATTATACACTCATGCAGAAATTACTGCTAAGTACTAATAGCAATAAGAGAGCACTGCAGTAAAGGTACTGGAAAGGCGTGCTTTTTACTGTCGGAGACTTGAGCTAGTACACCATTTCAATCTATAAGTTTGTCAATTACAGATCAATAACCAAACTGTACGATTACGGACAGGTGCCGCTTCTGATATCACCATCAAATTACATGGAATATGGAAATCATAAGAACACATAATGTAACCAACTTAGCAGGAAAAAACAAGTTCTTTCAGAGGTAACCTACTATTAACAGAATGATTTCAGTTCAGTATCATTTAAAGACATTACTTTCAAAGAAACAGCCTGCGTCGCTGTTTCTGATCCAAGCTTTCTACGTTTAGACTGGTTTAGCAATCTTCATTCAGTAGATATGGCCCTTATCGCCGTACGTAGCAAAGTTTGATCAGCTATGTTTACAGCACAAGAACCAGATAAGCTCGATAATCAAATGATAACAAAGAAGTATCTTAATTTGCGTGAATGATGCAGTTACAAGCTGTAGACTGGAGAGAAACGTGATTTCTACAAAATCTGGAGAATATGTAAAAAAACCGAAAGTATCACCATCTTAGCGATATTATCAAACAAAGGTGCTACATCGCTTCGTGGTATTAAAATACCGAATTTTCAAATACAGATTATTAGAAAGAAGTCAAGTGAAAATAATGCACTTTTTTAATTTGATTTTCGTTCATTTGACTCTAGCATTTATTCAGTGTAGCTAACAGACATCATAATATTTGCTTGACTTATTAGGATACAAAGTGGAAGTTAGTAAGAAAACTAGTAATACAATAACATCCAAATCCTTATCAAAACTTATGTAAATTAACGATGTCACAGTTATCAACACTGTCTAGAATAATGAAAAAAGACGAGTAAATATCTTGTTTGAAATTATCAGAAATTAACAGTTGATCGTAGTCTTAGTCCTACATTTAACCCAGTAGATAATTAAGAACATCGTGTAAATTGACAAGACTTTATTGATACAAAGACGAATTAAAGTAGAAAAAATCATACGGAAAAATCGTTAATTTTATACATTATATGCGTTCATCCAAATCTATTCAAGGAGATTAGGATGAGATATCAATCGACTTGACTTTTATGCATCACAATAAGACCACTGAAAGATTGCTTAAAAAATCAAAATGTAAACATTTGATTAAAAACAAGTTTTTAATTCAGAAATAGTCCTATTTCAACAAGTTACTAATATTTGTTTTTTTTCCTTTTAGAAAGGCCGTAAAAGCCGCTATCCTTTTAATGCCGTTATTAGGAATTACTAATTTTATTGTACTTTTACCAGAACCTAAACATCCTTTGGGATTTTTTATTGTTTCTGGAATACGTCGAGTGCTGCCAACATGGCAAGGATTTATTATATCTGTGATATATTATTTTATGAATAAAGATGTAAGTTTCATATTGTTTAAGATAGCAACTAACTTGAATTTCATTTGTTATCATGATGACAAACCCAGTGTATATTCTTTGGAAACGACTTGGCTACTAAATACATACGTAATATTTATGGTATAAACTGTTTAGAAGTTAGACACAATGGTCATTACTTTGAAGTACCAATGACCTCATCTCATGAATATTCGTGTGATCACGCTTTTTAAATAAGCTGGTACTAGTTTAAGTCCTATTGTGAGACTCCTCAGCAGTGCGCATCCACGGTCCCGCTTCGTGAGATTCCAACCCTTCTGATACTGATTCTATAATTCATTAACGGTTGTTGTAAAAAATTCAATAAGCCGATTGCTATTAATTCATTTCATAATGACTCATCGATTTCTTATTTAATATAGTTTCATAAATGGAATTTTCATAAAATATCCAATGTAGAACTTTGAAAAAATGACTTGTATGTCTCAAGAAAACACCAGAACTCTTGTTATAATATTTCAATATATTTTGATGTTTCGTGAACTTCTTTGTCACATAAGTTGAGAAACCTGATCAAGTTCTACAGTTAGAAAGTGTAGGAAACTTTATTTACAACAATTTAAAATTTTATTTTCAAGTGCTTATTTGAAATAATAAAAAATTTGATCAGGACCTCATGTAAGGGACAAAACATTAAAGATGACATTAAAGAACAATTTGAAATTGCTTTTATTTTGTAACTCCTGTTACAACAAACGTTTACTCAGAAACAGTATTTTTCACTATTCAAAGTTAACTTTTATATATAAACTATATAAATGTCAAATGTGAGGAAACGTAAACATCTTTTTACTCAGAAACAGTTATTGTCCAAACAAATTCGACATAATTACAAAGCTTTTGAATTATAATATCATAATGACGAAACGACATTACATAGGATTATATTACCATACGCTTTAGAACTGATGAATTAGATATTCATATATATAACATATGGCTTATTTCGGTTTTCTAAAGGAAGCCTACAAATAGCCTTTCATATAACAACATATTAGCATAACGAAAAATAAAATACGGACCCTTGTATTTAAGTATTAAAATAAAATAAAAATTACATATTAGTTGTTTACAACGATATAAATCGTGTGAAAAGAATGCACTTTAAGTTACAAATTCCTCTTAATTTAAATATAATTAAACACTGGTAGTTAACCTTTAAAATTATCAGCGTATAACGACTAATGATCATGTGATATTTATTTATCTGCTGTTAATAATTATAAAAAAATGTAATTATGTAGTGATTAACCTCAGTTACTCTATATTCATCAACAAATATTTTCATAATCATTTCTGGAAATAATTTGACAATTCTCCATTAATTAATAACTTAAAACTGAAATCACCAACAGATTATTATAATTTATTTTTGAACGTAATTGAAAAGTATATCATATACAAGATTAGTAAAGATTTGAAGTAATAGATTATTGTGGTGAAATTGCCCCCCCCCAAATGCACTGGTACGTCCAAGGGTGGGGAGAATCCGCTCTCCCTATCGAAATGCTCTCACATGGACACGTGTATACAGTCACTGACAGAGAAGTCCTGCTCACTGCCTTCTCGTGGCGAGGGTGTTGTTCACGAAATTGAGAGGACGAAAAAAGAAGGTCCGACAATTTAACCGGGTTGGTGGATATGGAGGATCCACCTAGGGGAGTTGGAAAACCCTGATTACAAACCAGTTATGCACACGGGCTCCAGGATCCTGAAGGAACCAATGGCCTATGAACCAATCGTTGGTCACCGGCTACCATCAGACTGCATCTCCTGACGTTGCTCCACTGCCTTGTGGATCAGACCCTTGGATTGAAGGCTCCGGGCAGTATCACAGCCCACACACAAACCAAGTGACTTGTGTGGTGCATATGTATTCGGTGCCCATTTGCACCATTATTTATATGATCAAATAAATAAATAAATGAGTGGTGAAATTATGAACTAAGTCATAAAATGTTACATCCAGATATTTGATAAGACAATGAATCGACACAAATATGCTACTAATAAAAATGCTAATACTCCACTTATATATACTCGTATTGTATATTAACATTTAATTGCAAATCTGGTTGTACAGATTTCCGAATAGTTATACTCATCATGTGGATTCATGAGATAAATATATTGAACTTTATTTGGAAATATAAATTTGTTCTCGCAAATGAGAATAGAATATTTTTTGTTTTAATATTTACTGATTTTAAAACCGTTTATAATGCTACGAATATGGTGACAAATCCTGTTACAATAAAAGATCAACTTAATTAAGATATCCAAATTAAAAGCTGTGGATAGCTAAAGCTTACACAATATAAATGATAGAACGGAAATTCACATGACAACTAATTAAATTCGAACAGACATTAAACTATTCGTGGATCCATATATGCCACAAATACATACGGTTGTACAACTTTGAAAATGAACACGTTGGAAACAATTCCTACACTGAAGAAATCGCTTCATGATTTATTCAGTATATTTAAATAGATTAAATGAGGGAGATATAAAAGGATTAAATGACAAAACCAAGGAGCTAGTAGAAAATTGAATAGACCAGGAATACAAGAGAACCATACACTGAGGTTTGAGAATAGTGAGACAAGTGGGTGGTGCACTTTGAAGAGCATTTGGACAGACAAGTCCCACTGAACCCACCGGACATCGAAGCAGCATACACAGACATTTCCATAAATGTCACCTCACAAATAATAGGAGAAACTAGCAGGGTCATCAGACAAATTAGTATTTTCAAAGGAGCAGGACAAGATAGAATACCAACTAAAGTACAAAGGCCAGACATAGAAGTAACTGTAAAAAGTTCATTGTGCTCAATAGAAAGGTTTGTAACGGAGAATAAAAACTAACTAACTGGAGAGAGAGAGACATCTAATAAACATATTAAAGAGAGGAAATTTCAGTAGATGTGAGAACCACAGAGACGTCATACTACTGTCAGCATCAAGTTGTTTCCAAGACTGTTGCTGAACCGAACGAAAGATTCAGCTGCCGTTCAAATTTAAGATCAGAAAGCTGAAATTTATAGGAATCGATCAAGGACCAAATCGCGACACTGAGAATTATTGGTAAACAAATAATTGAATGGAACTCATAGTTAAAAAATCAACTTCCTTGATTATATAAAAGCCTTCAGAAATGTGGATAGGGAAAACTAGTGGTCTTTCTCGTTCCTAAAGAGTACCTGAGACGGCTATCATTATAGTACAGGACTTTTAGAACGGATAGGATTTCAGTGTCGTGCATAGGAGGTAGCTCATAGATGTATTCCAAGTGAATACGAGTTCCAGACAAAGTTGTTTACTCCCGACTTTTCTCTTGCTTCTGGTGGTCGACTGGATTTTCAAGACCTCCACACCTTGGGAGAAAAGCTGATCTTAGTAAACAACATAGTGACAGCTGGGTGAAATGAACTTTGCAGATGAGTAAGACCTACGATAACACATACGAAAACAAATATATATAAAGCAGACAGTCTAACAACGGCTACCGTGACAGTAAGCCTCAGAATTCACTAGGGAAAGAGTAAGATGGTAAACTACAACACAGACACCACCAAACAAATCACACTTAATGGCCAGGGTCCGTAGGATATGGAGCTCTTAACCAACAAATACAGCATGAACGACAAGCATGGGAGGTTTGATATAAATAGTAAGGTATCAGTTGGAAAAATTAAGGACACGATCCCTAAAATAAAAACATATGAGACTCAAAGCAACTGTCACTCAAGAATAAAATCAGAATCTTCAACACTTATGTTGAAATAATCCTGTCATTAGGAGCTGAAAATTGGATAACTACTACCAGTATTTATAAAAATCTGTCTACCTAAGATACACCAGATCCATTGGTCAGAGACCACCAACAATAACTTACTCTGCCAGAGAACAAGCCAGCTACCAGTCGAGGAAGAAATTAGGAAAACATAGTGGAGATGAATAGGACATGCTGAGGAAGTCACTAAGCTGGATCAAAAGGCAAGCCCTGAATTGAAATTCCCAATGCTAAAGGAAGAGGCATATCAAAGAACACGTGGATCCGGGAATCGGAATCAGACATCGAGAATATGGGAACAACTTAGCAACAACTGAAAAGGATCACAAAACAGAGATACTTGAAGCTCTCTGGTTAACAAACTATACCCCAAGAGAGGTAGTTAGTTCCAGTAACTAAGTAAGAACTTTTGAAGTCTAGTCAACGATTTAAGTTATCTGGTACACTGAAAAATTATTGGAGTTCAATGCATTTATACAGATGTTTTGCTTGAAAGTTTCTGTATTATATGTAAAAATACCACATTTGGATGGAACGTTTGAAATTACATAGTTATTTCTTCAATGGTAATATCTCAATGAAACTTTCGAATCTCAGATGCAGCACCAATTCTCTGAATATGATGTGTATGACTTAGTGATGATATTTGAAAGTCATAGGTTGAAAGTAAGTGGTTTCCATCAGCTGCGATAAACCGATATATTCATTTACTAAACGAAGCTGCTAGTGGAGAGATAGTTTAGTGATTAGGGCGTTTAGATACTAAGTCCTGAATTCAACACTCTCTCAGCCTTTGCTTTGAGCAGTTGGATAGTATCAATAAACTTGAAACAGAATGTGTCCCATATCCAAGCACCTGAAAAATACGTTAATATAATTCATAAGAACTAATATAACTTACAGAAAATTATGAACAATTTTACTGGAAAAATGTTTATCTTTATTTCAGGTTCAGAAATGCATACACATGTCAATCCGAAGATTCAAATCAAAATATCAACTAGAACATCATCGTTTTACTTCATCTTCTCTACCCATAACAACTATACCAACAACAAATTCCACATAAGCAATAATTAAGAAAACCTACTTTCATCAATAGAATTGAATTCAGATAATACTTATACTTCGGATAACGACTAAACACTGAGCAAGAGCAGTTCAAGATACAAAAACTAAGCAGACAAACACCAATGAAGACAACTTTATGAGTCGAAAGGAATATAATTAAAATAAACAAATAAAATGATGTACAGAACAAAACATGGTTAACCTTTAACCGAATATTATGACTTACATTAAAAGCATTTAAACGATATTTTCTGATTTATAATGGTTCTACAAAAGATTTCGATAGGCGGAAATTTTCTCAAAATCAATACAATATTCATAAAGAATAAAAATAAGACGATTACAAAAGACTTTTCCAGAAGCAATTTCCTGAGATGTCATGAAAAGCCGAGATCAGTAGATTTGGTAAGGTGAGGCGTGAAAAGTAAAATAAAATTGAGGATCGAATGAGAATAGAGGATTAAAAAGAAATGACTGAAATTGAGAACGCGTACCGTCAGATTTTGACTCCGTGACTTAATAGTATTGTGTATCACGAGAAAACTTAAGGGTTTGGTTTCAACCTTATGTGTGATTGAAAGAGTACAGAGCTAAGGTGCTTAAAGCCAGAATAGCATTCCTACAAAAGAAACATATTTGAAACTCAAAGCAACTGTCACTCAAGAATAAAATCAGAATCTTCAACACTTATGTTGAAATAATCCTGTCATTAGGAGCTGAAAATTGGATAACTACTACCAGTATTTATAAAAATCTGTCTACCTAAGATACACCAGATCCATTGGTCAGAGACCACCAACAATAACTTACTCTGCCAGAGAACAAGCCAGCTACCAGTCGAGGAAGAAATTAGGAAAACATAGTGGAGATGAATAGGACATGCTGAGGAAGTCACTAAACTGGATCAAAAGGCAAGCCCTGAATTGAAATTCCCAATGCTAAAGGAAGAGGCATATCAAAGAACACGTGGATCCGGGAATCGGAATCAGACATCGAGAATATGGGAACAACTTAGCAACAACTGAAAAGGATCACAAAACAGAGATACTTGAAGCTCTCTGGTTAACAAACTATACCCCAAGAGAGGTAGTTAGTTCCAGTAACTAAGTAAGAACTTTTGAAGTCTAGTCAACGATTTAAGTTATCTGGTACACTGAAAAACTATTATTGAAGTTCAGTGCAGAGATAGTTACACATCGTTTATTACTTGACGATACAGAGAAGAGAAAGATGAGTCAAATTCCAATAGCTTCTTCCTGAGGACGATTTGAAGAACAAGATTTTCCAGAGCCGAAAACAGGTCTACGACTGACGTGGCGTCCAAACCGTTATCAATCAAAGGCTCTTTTAAATCTCTTTTGATATTTGCAAATACAAAATAAATAATTATTACTACAATAAAAATTCTTCCAAAAAAACTAAGAACTTCTTTTGAAATCTGGTGCACTTGTTAAATGGTCCATTAACAAAACGGACAAAGAGAACCATAAAAACTTGAGAGTAGAGTGGATAAAACTACATTATAAGGAAGATATGACAAGTTTTCCCAAATCTAGTCAAAAACTATAAAATCAACCATTTGAAGTTATGTATTGCGATCCAAAGTATACAAAAGATACTTCGTTGACTGGAACTAAGACCAAAACCGTAAAACTTACTGGACTCCATTGTCGTCATGTTACAAGTATTGGAAACATAACGCGAAGATCAACACACGCGCTTTGACCTTATGCAAAATATCTGACTCAATAGAGACTATTGTTCCAGGTCATTGACCTTGAGAGCAGAACACAGTTGGACAGTTTTTCTCAATCTTTAGAGCTTTTACTTCTCGTAGCGACTACAGATTAAAAGCATTACCTGAGACAATGGACTCTAGAGTATTCACTCTTCTTAAAGATCTTTCAGAAATGGATACTTAAACACTGAATCTTCTACGAGAGGGTGTTATAATTACACCTTTGCTTATCGCTCGTTGGTGTCCTATGATTTATATGGTTCTTCGGAAAACACTAAATAAATGAATAACGTACCTGTTCTCGTAAAGCGAGGCGGCTGTATCAGATTAGTCTAATCGAAGAATTTACCTCCAGTCTGTATAGCTTATTCCGTCATTCAGCCTCTATTCGACTAGACAGAGCTGGAGTTTCCAAAGCAACAACGTTATTGATACTCCTGAGCTATTGATAAAACAGTAGTCATAGACGTTGCGAGAGAGCCCTACCTAAAATTCAACAGAAGTCTTGAAAGTGAATCTGAGCGCATGGCTGGTGTACCAAAGTCTTCAGTTCGCAAACGTGAATACGTCGACATTACCCACTCCTTTTATAGTGAGGAGCAGCCTTAATCTTGGCAACACATTCGCAATAGCTAAATAAAGGTGCAGTCTCAGAAAATTGGAAGTTTGCATACGTCACACCAACTTTTAAAGGTTCCCGACCCAACGGGCCTTCGAAGTGCTGACCGGTTGCACTTCGTTCAATACCTCCAAAGGTTATGAACTTCCTGATGTCCAATAGCCCATGCGACTACTTGTTATCCACATAGTTCTTTTCGCCTCCAACATTACGCTCCCAGGAAGTATTGTTTCTGCATCACTGACCCATTCAGTGCAGTGGACAGATAGACTATCATCCTCATTAGCAAAGAGAAGGTGGACATAATTTACCTCGATTTCTTAAGTATTTGACAGGGCCGATAAAACACATCTTATCAATAAACTCGATCCCATATGTTCCATATCTTCATCAACAGGCTGTTTCGAGTTGTTTATAGACGTTTTAGGATAATAGAAAACCTAACATTTTATCGTGCTGCAGGACGTCTTGATGGATTCTTCAGGGCTTGATACTGGGACCTCTTCTGTTTTTAATCAGTGTAAGATAAAGAGAGCACATAGAGTAATCACCCTCTTATGGTGCGTTAATGCACATATTAACTATTACTTTATATCAAGTGTGAATAGCTTTTTCAAAGGTTTTTATAAACAACACCGACAACTGTCGTGATCCGACGAGCTAAATCACAACACAATTTAGATTCGATGTAGAATCTTATGAGTTAGACAGTAAGATGATAATAAGTCCACAGTATTGGACTAGTTTTATTATTGTAGTACCGTACATAAATACACTCACTACAATACTAGACGTGAATCCCACAGAAGCCTCTAAAGTACCTGAGAAACACATGTTTTACAAAGAACAGATATACGTTCACTGAAAATATTTTTTGAAACTGTGAACGTGACATGTAGATGCAAACAAAAGGACTTCGATTCTTCTTTTTTGTCGTACGAAACGAATTCTAACAGGATATGATGCGAAAGTGTGTCTGTAGAATTATGGTCTACTATGATATTAGTACCGCTCTAATAATAGACTTAGTCCTAAAATTGTAGATTTATCATCATATAACTACCTAATATATATGATCTTACACGGAAGTCATATTAATATCTACACCAACTCATCGCGTCGTAACAATCATCAATATATGATGAAGAACACCCATAGGCTAGAGATAGAACAATATATTTAATATGAATAAAAGGTACATTTTAGCACTCAATAATGACCACGCCTGTAAGGCCGAGCCATGTCATCCGATGGATTCGAACTAGTTCAATTCATTCTTCCCGACTTCTATATCGTTGGGTTTTTCTCCGCGTCAAATGTTGGATATGTATTTTCCCAGTTGTCTGGTTTTCAGCTTTAAGTATTGTATGGTTAGGGCCCAATACCACTACAAGTTCATCGTTTTCTGCCAAACATCAAAGTTAAGTCTGATTCACCTGAGTTTCTAGTTTGTCATCCTGGTTGCCCACTTTACTCTAAAATTTTGAGATCTCCGGCGAAAGGTAGCAACTCTAACGGTACTCGCTAGATATCATTAAAATGAATGAAAAACGGAAGGTATCCTTGCACTGAACTCTGAGGGATCCCATAAGAACATCCAGTAGCGCGAGAAAATACAGTTTTTCACCAAGTCTACACGTTTAATTGCTGTGAACCTCCTAAACCTATAGGACTTAACTGGGGCTGTTCAGTCTTAATAAACCTCAAAAAAACCCTCTCTGATCACATCTGATATTGTGAAAGTCGAACAAAAACGGCAAAGCAACTCCAGAAAAGACCGACCAAACACATTTTGGTGGCAGTTGACGCTGATCAGCAGCCCACTGTGCAGAACAAAGAGACCACGATCTTGCTAATGCATCACGATATGCAGCCAAAAACCTTACAGTGGCAAGATTGCATGGAACTGATAAGCATTTTAAACGACAATCTGCTAAAAAACTACAAGAGAGGTGCTGCTGTAGAGGAGGATCAGGTAATGAGACAAACCAAGTGCCTGTGTAGCAACCTAAGAAGACTAAGGAGTAGACAAGAGGAAATCACAAACATGTGCTTTTAGTTAGACCTGAAGATCATAGTCCTCATTGAAACATGGTCATCACACAACACCATTGATAAGTGTGCTTGCAAGACATAACATATTCGATACGATAGGGCACACAAAATAGGAGGTGGGATGGCAGTATGTATTAACGGCCATTTCAAAACCGTAACACCATACAGCACTGAATTAACCGGTTTTACTTCAATGTATACGGCATGGAATGCTTGATTGAAGGGATATACTGGCTCTTCACAGGTTCTAACACTTGAAAAGATGAGATAATACAGGCGATACTAAAGTTACCACACCTTGATTTTGGCCAAATACTACCAAATAAATGCTTCAACACTCCAACATTAAATTTCAACAAGCGAGGTATAACCCGTAGAGAATGGTTCCATAAGTAGCTTGCCACAGCTGTCAAAAGTCTAAGACTGACTGAGCATATGGTTGATACCACTAGATGATACAGGGACGGAAAACCCTTAAAATTGAGCTAGTTACTGACAAATGATTAGCCTCTAGTTGAGGATGTGAATGTCCGCGCATCAGTAGTTAGTTTAAACCCTTTTCCCTTCAAGTTTGTCGTAATAACATGCGAGATTCTAGAGAGGAGGACAAGGTTGTGTAAAATTCTGGTCAAGGTCGATATTTGTACACCTATCTAAGTCCCTAGAATAATGTCTATTTCGCAATCGTAGATTTGTCATGGTGTGGAAACCTGATCTATAAGAACTTAAGTTGAACTCACATCATTAATATACTGATTCGTTCCGTCATACAGTCAGAAATATGGTGTTTAGCATTTCTAAAAAAACACAATTGAGCTGGGGGTAGAATAAAATGTTTAACATGAGAAGGAACGAGTCGTACAGATTGACCATACATGAATTCCCGAGCCAAGCCATACGAGTTGCCCTTCTCTCAATACTGTCAGAAGTAATGAAAGGACTGGTCGACGAATAAATACAGGAATGCATGGATGAAGATAATATCCCCCATGAGGCCCAATACGGGATCAGGAATGTCAGAGCATTCGTATCTAACCTCCTCATGGCATGGGAAAGCTTGATGACCTGCTGTGACCATAAGATAATAGTTCATGTAGTGTCCCTTGGTTCTGAAAAAGTCTGACACAGCACATCGTGTTCTTTACTTAGAAAAGGTTGCAAACATTAGTTTTCATTGACCCACTTGCATCCTTGCTATGAAACTATGTAGAGGACGGGATGTTTCGTACCAAGGAAAATAGAGTGCGCACGAGTTAAAAGGTCTCAAAATCAGGCATTTCACAAGAAAAAATCTTAGGTCCACCCCAGTCGTTGGCCTTTATTAACAAAACACAAGATAGCAAAAACCGAAAAATGGGTAGTAGACAATGGGTTAAAATTTAACCTGACGAAATGTCATGTCATAGACATTCTGCCTCACATGGCATAAAGCACTTTACGGAAATCAACTGTCAACTATCTCCTCAGAGCGTGATTTGGGGCTCGTAACCGCAAGGGACATAGGGACCCGTCCAAACGACACAAGGAATGCAACCAAGGCAAACGCACACTCCACTTTATGTGAAAATGACTTGATACAATCCCTCCAAAGCTTTTCTTAACATTGTTTAGGGAGTACACACAGCCCAACCTTAAGGTCCACAAAGTCATAGCTCCTTCGCTCTTTAAAAAAATAAATCTCTTGGCTCAAGTACACG